GGTAATTTATAATCAGTCACAAGAACGTCGAATTTGAATCACTTGAAAAAAACACGGGGGTGCTTAACTTTTTTCCAGGTGTATATATCTTATCTGCTAAGTGGACCTCTACTTTTTATTTTTTTTTCCTCCTGACTGAAAAGGTTATTTTGGGGGGGGGGTATAGGGATGAAAGTGCCCGTTCTTCTGTAGGCATCTACTTTCCGTATGGCTTTGCATGGCCAGTTGGTTAGGGCACTTGCCATGCAATCTGAGGGTTGTGGGTTCAAATCCCCATCCCACCAAACATGCTTGCCCTTTCAGCAGTGGGGGTGTTATAATGTGATAGTCCATCCCACAAAACAAACAAATACTTTCCGCACAAAAACTAAGAGTTTAAACAGCAGATTTTAATCGAACTTTACGGGGCACTTTCTTTGGGAATGGGGAAGAACCATATTTGATTTCTTTGCAAAAGAAAACAAGCCACAAAATACAATAAACAAACACTAAATACTAATGGTCATGGTTATTGACCATTCTACTGATGGATTTTTTTCAATTTGTATTGCTTGTTTTAGAATGTAGGCTTGCATAAAATATTCAATAAATGCTCTGAACATAGGGCACCGAAATTTATTCACTCTGTTCAAGGTGTTTAAAGAATTTTATGTGTAACAACAGTTTATCTCATGGAACAAAAGAAAAATTAGGCTTAACTTGTTTCATTTGTGTACTTGTATGGATTGCTTAATTTCGTCTTTTCTATTGTGAAAGTTTAATTAATAATTTGTTTTTATTATTCACAAGCCCTTCACATCTCTCTTCACTTTCAAAATACATTATTGAAAAGTACCTAAATATAAATGTTCTACTTCAGTCTATTAGTTCTAGTTAATAAATTTAGTTTTTGTTTACTGGATTACGGTCTCGACTGACCAAAAGTAGGGGTTTAAGTTGCTTTGTTCCTTTTCTATGTTACCCGTAGAAATACTCTACAAGTCAATTTTGGTTAAATAAGAATTGACAAATAAGCATTTAATTATCAGTCCATTCAACTTGACCAGTGTTTAAGGTAAGCAACCTGGGAGTCATGCTATTGTAGAATTAATTAAAGTCAAATTTGCTATTGCTCTTTTCTATTCAGTGTATTTGTTTATGTTAACAGAGTAGTTATGGAGGACAAAACAAGTTTGTAGGACAACAGCAACGACAGATTCATATCCAATCAATGCCAAGCTCCAGTTCTGGAGGTACATCTCAGAACCCTTCTGTTTCTACTCAGAGAAGCCCCCAATACATGCCTCAATCTTCTATAAACGTGTATCAAAAAAATCTGCATCAGCAGAGGCTTCAAAGATCTATGTCGATGTCTGGTAGGTTTCTACATTTTAAATACTTTTTTTTTACTATTATTTTAATGGCATTCCAGCATTAGAATAATATTAGTTTACAAATTTTGAAAATATACCTTTTAATACTCAAAATTAATTATATTAAATTTTGATCAAATCGTAAAACTTTTTATCCAAATTTTACCTGGTTAGTAAAGAATAGGAGTATCAAGTGTTACTTATCCGAAAGTTATTTCGTCACAGCAGCACCTGGTATATAAATGCTAAGTTGTCAAAATTTGAGTAAGAAAACCCAGAAACTATTTAATTTAAAGTTATATGAATAATTTTATTTAAATTTATATAATTTTTGTATTATTGTAAAATAATTTCTATATCATTACCTCACATTTTATGAAACTGCAAAAAATTTCAATAATTATGATAAGCCTTTGATTAATCAAGTTTTAGTTTTTCTCATTCTTGTTACCTTAGGATAAACAGACTTGTATATTGTCTATGAAATTAGAATATGTTAATACAATAAATTTATGATTCTAAAACTAAATTTTATTAACTTCTTCCTCACAGTATAAACAGTTATTAAAGAAATACTTAAGAAAAGTCGTTTCTCGGTATAAAGAGCTTTTAACTTGTCATACAAATAGTTTAGTTAGTAAGACTTAAATTTATAATTTTGGATATTAATGACATATTTTTTATAACTTAAAGCTTAAAGAATTATAAAACCTTATCTTTGTGACCAGCTTTGATTATTCCAGAAAAAAACCAAGTTAATCACATCCATACAGACAGTTGTACGTAATTCAGAAAAAGGCATAATAAATGACTTTTATATGTAAACAAGCTGCATGACTAGGATTTGATTTTCAGTTTGAGATCATGGTTAAAAAAACATGAAAAACAAACTTTTATTATTAAAGATTATAACATGAAAAATTTGTTCGTTTATTTGTTTATTATTTAGTCATTAATAAAATAATAATAATAAAATAAAGTATTTGCAGGGTGGGTAAACTCTCCTTGTACACCCCAACAAGTACATGCTGCAGGAGAACGGCATCTCTCCCCTCAGCCACAAGTTTCTCCAAACTTCAGTAGTCATTCGTTGCCGGGAAACCCAGTTTCTAATTCGGTTAATCCTAGCAACACCTTAGTTTCAACCACAGCTTCTGTCAGCTACAGTGTTGCAGGTGATAACTCCAACTATTTTGATCAACAAAGCCTCCAGCTTTATACCAATACAGCAGAAGAATGGTAACATTTGAACCTGTATCTTTCTATATAGTTTAACGCTCGTCTTCTTAATTTCCTTTATATGTTTCGATGATTATCAAGTTCAAGTCGTATTGAATGATTTAATTGTTTGAGGTTAGAGTGATGGTGTTTTTCAGTTTTCAGGTGTGTATATATGTATGTATATGTGTGTATGTATCGCACGCACACACCATTGTATCTCTAATTTTGCTTACTCTTCTTCCAGTCGGAGTGGTCTAGCTAGTACTGGGGGAATGACATCAGAATTTGTACGGCAGGAATTAAGAGCAAAAGTTGGGGCAAGAACTCAGCAGCAAGGGATGGTAAGAAGAAAGAGAACTTGTCTCATATTTTAGGCTCATAAATTTATATATTTTGATTGAAAAACCTACACTAATACTTCATCTGGAGCTAGTTATATTTTGTTTTTAAATAAACATTCTAGCACTGTATTAACACTATAAGAAAACAGTACACAAAATAGACTGAATTTGTTGATGTAAGTAACTTATTTTTTATGATACCAGCTTGAGGACATGGTAAAACATCTTCGTTTTCATCCATTTTTCCTGTGTCAAATGCTTGTGAAGTTTGAGCAAGTGAAAAGACGAGAGCTTTATAAATGTATTGTTTGAGGATCACACTGAACACATTCTCAATGTTTTGTATCGACATTCAGTAATGTTTTCCATGGATTTTTAGTTAAATAAGTATCGAAACAGGTAGAATAAAATCTTTGATAGGTTGTTTAGGCATAATGAATCTAAGTTTCAAATGGACAACAACTGCCTGTTGTAGAAACCTACAAATGTAGAGGACAACGTTTCGAAAGTCTTCCACCTTTCGTCTTCTGGTCAGTGTGTGTGTGTAGTTTGGTCTTTATAGTGTTCTAGTGGATTGAGGAGAGTGTGTTATGATTGATTGGTTAAAACACGTTTCTGATTGGAGGAGAGACTTCTTGTAGCCTCAACCAATGGTAGCCACGGTTGACTCACCTCTAATCCTGAATCTCTGTTTAGTGAAGGTTTTATTGTGTTAATGTAAAATGATTCTAGCTTTTTCCCAGTTTATGTTGTGTCCAGTTGACATGGCGTGTTCTTCAATGGCTGTGTTTTGTGTTTTTGCGAGTCTTGTGCTGTCTTTAAGTTCCTTTATTCTTGTCGAGAGTCTTCTTCCCGTTTCTCCAATGTATGTTTTGTTGCAGGAACACGGAATTTCATAAATGACTTTTTTCTGTTTTTTGTTGGAAGGTTTCTGTTTGTTCTTCACCAGAATGGATCTTAGTGTTTTGTAAGATTTCAAATGTCATCCTCTACCTTTGTAGCTTTCTACAACAGGCAGTTGCTGTCCATTTGAAACTTAGATTCATCAGGTAGAATAAAATATAAATGAATTTGTTCGTGAGTATGCGTGCACAAATAAATATGCGTGCATTCATGTGTGTTATGGAGATTTTCAAAAGCTTAAAACAATACTGGGCTGGGTGTGGCCTAGTGATTAGAACACTGGTCTCTACAGTGGGGGCAATGAGTGCCTTACAAGAATGATGGTCAAATCCTATTATTTGATTGGAGTTGCCAAAGGGTGATATTGACCAATGCCTTCCCCTCTTGTTTATCAGCTCAAAGGGTACTATTGACCAACTGCCTTCCCTCTTTTCTGTCAGCTCAAAATTATCAGACAGCTAGTGTAGATATTTTTTGTATACAGGGGAGATTAACTGAAGTTCAGATAAAACTACTGGCTCCAATAGATTTTGTATTTTCACTTTTATACAGTTTATGGAAGATTAATGTTAAGAGGCTGTTTTTTCTTTACTTGGGTTTGAATTATAATGAAAAAAAAATTATAAATTATTATTATTTTATTACATTTGTGTGTTGCCAATATCATGTTTTTTTATTTTAGTCTATAGATGTAGTAAACACTTACAGTTAATGATGTATCAGTTTATATACTTCTTATTTTTACACAGAGACAGCAGCAACAACAACTTCAGTTTAATATGACTGGAACAAACTCGCCATCAGAACCTGATGTGGGTGCTCTAGGACTGTCTTTGGAGCTAGGTAAGTTATCTAGTTCTTTGGATTCTTCTATTTTCAGAAAAAGCCTCCCCCCACCCTCCCAGTGACTCAGTGGTAGGCTGAACATTTATAATGCTAAAAATCTGGTTTCGATACCTGTGGTGGGCACAGCACAAGTAGCCCATTGTGTAGCTTAGTGCTTGACAACAAATGAATCTTTTGAGTGAAAAAAAATCCTAACTAGTTTTTCAGGGCTGTCATATACAAAAGAACCTACTTGTAAAAGTCTTCGTTAACACACTTGCTGCCACATAATAAGTTAAGTATGAAAAAAAAATACATTGAAGAGGTACCAAGGAGCAGTCACAGTGTCCCAAACTTGTATGCCACAAGATAAATTTTGCCTTGGAGTATATTTTATACACTGTTATATATATATATTTGTGTGTAAAGTATTTTTGTTGGCAGTTCGTTTCATTATGTAAGAGTTGTTTGTTATTGCCTTGTATAGATAAATTGAATAGTACTTTGTCAAAAGAAAGAGTTTATCTTCAGAGTAATGAAATGGTGTAACACGTCTTTGCTTCTATAGTTGTTTGATAATTTTCTTTTTAACCAAACCTTGTTGAAATAATTGTGAGATTAACTTCCTTGTTGTTGTTGTTTGTTTTTTCCAAATAATCTTACAAAACATTAATCTGACTGACAATAACATGAAACAGTGTATCATATATAAACATTTGAACACTGCAAACATATTTGTCCAACATAGCTTTTGTAATTTATTCTACATTATTTGACATTTTTCTAGTCGCAATTAAAATTAATTTAAACAAATGAAAATAATTGAAAAATAGCACTTTTTAATATCTATATATATATATATATATATTATTTTATTTTTCTCCTCCTCCCCTTTCCATCTAATGTGTAGTTACATGATTGATGTCGATGGTTTAGTTTGTGTTTCAAAAAGTGCAAATGTTAAAGAAATATATTTGTCTAATGTCATTCTTGAGTTTTTTCGTACATAAATAAATTATTGCAATTTTCCAGGTGAAAGTAGCCAACGGGTCTTGTCCGGATTATTCTCACAATCGCTACTGGACATGGGTAGTAACCAGAACAACTCAATGTCACTGATGCCAACAGAAGGAAATAATCCTAGAGTAAGTTCACAAAGCAACCATAAAATTCTCTTTTTATTCCATTACTAATAAGAGTAAGATTTACCCATATATGAAAGTTTTCAATTTCTGTAGTTGCACTTAATATTTTTACTTTTATTTACAAGCCAAATTTGGACATTAATTAAGTTTGTCCTAGAAGAAATATTGCTTGTGTAAGTGTTGTCAGAAAGTTATGTTGGTTTATCAACAATAACTTGTGGCAAAAAAATAAAAAAATCCATATTCTTGTAGAAGAAAACTGTATTAGTAACGGAAGGTTGTTGTTTAAAAGATGTGAAAGAAGTAAGAAATTCAAATCATGATTATGAAGCTTTAATCTGAAACTAAAAATTATTAGTTATTTCATATATATTGTGTAATATATATATATAACTCCACAATCATATTCACTTTCTTTCTAGATAGGTAAAGAAAATTTATTTAAAAACAAACAATGATTCGTAAAGTTTTAACCTTCACAAGATTTTTGTTTCTTTATCGCAGGTTCAAGAAGCTAAACCACCAGAACAAAAGAAAAGTTTACTGCAACAATTGCTCTCGGCAGAGCCCCCATAATCAGTAAATATAATTTCAGACTTAGAAGATGTATGAGAAACAATATTACAGCTATCTTGGAGTAGTTTGGTGCTTGAAGCGGATTTCCAACATGCAACGGACACTAGAGTGAAATCAATTATAGTTTGTGATTTTCAAGTAAACTATAATTTTGTGGGTTTTTTTTTTTGTATTTTTTTTTTTTTGTAAATATTTTAAGCGAAAAACCGGTTATTCATCGTACAGGTCATTGTGAGGGTACTTGGGCAAAATGATGTACTAGTTGTATTCCAGGCTATGTGGCATATGTTCTTGCTCTTCTGTTACCAACAAAGAATACATGGGTTTGTGAAAGAAACAACACCATTCAGTAAGTTGTTCTCTGATGTGGTGAAGTTTGCTCATCGGTGTTTACTTCACAATGGGATAAACTTGTCAAATCTCTGGAGTCACTTTTCTCAAAAGAACACATTTTTATTGTGTAAAACTGACCAATCACTGTGGATGCCAGTAGGAAATATGACTCTGGTTTCTCTAATCCTTGTGGAGCTACTGTTTTATTATAAAGGTCAATTCTGTCTTTCAACAAATTCTTATATTTTCCTTCAAGATACACTAACATTTAACTACAAGGAATCTGTTCAGCTCTGTCACTCTCTAACTTTCACAACATACAAATCCTTGTTTTTATAACCGTATGAATGTGTTTCTCAAGAAGCTCCTCTGATTTTTCATGTTCACCATCAGTCACTGATAACTGTTTTGGAGCTAAGCCTAGAAGAGTGGTTTGTGCTGTCCCTTTTAGTCATATGCATGTGCGCTGTTGTAATTTGTATATATTATACGTATATAGCTTATGTTTTCTCTGGTGTATTTGTATATATCCATAAATATATATATATACCACATATATAGAAATATTTACAAAATTGGTTTCATAGAATGTATTTGTAGCCCAGTGCTGTTTTAGAGTCAAGCCCTTATGAATGATTAATTACAGTGCCACCAGCTTTAGAGTATTATCGAGGTTGTAGTCAGATAAATTCCAGCCTCTAAGCCAAGTCAATACAGTAACTTTAACATATTTGTCTTTACATTCCATAAAGGTTTTGAACCGTTGCATCTGAACCAGTTTTCTTTCTACCAGAGGCTACTGTAGAAACATCATCATGCTTGTTATTAATTACCAAACCTATTAACCTTTCTGTTTAATCTGGGAACCAACATAAATATCTTGTTGTTGTTGATTATAAATGCAGTTGTGTTTTATTATTTTATAAACGAATTGTAAAGAAATAGCTATAAATATATATATATATATATATATTGTTTCTGAACACAAAAGTGAAATTTAAAAATCTTTACCAGAAACAATATCGGAAGAGGCTACTCGCTTTAAATAGTTAACCATCTTCAATAACGTTTCTTTTTTTTACAAGCAATTTACAGACCTTTTTTTTGGTTAAAAATTGTGTAATATTGTTTTAAATTTTTATACTTTCAATAGACTACTCATGAATTATTATTCAAAGTTTTTTTTAATAACATTCAGGATAGAATACATTTGTAGATTGTTATGACGACAATATGTCATTGTTTTTTCATGCATACATTTAATCTTGATGAATTTTAAAAAATGGAATGAGTTTAATTACAGCATATGATAAAAAAAAACGAAGTTTGTCTCTGTATGGAAGCCCAAATATGAAATAAAAATAACATATGAATTGACACTAGAAACTGAGAGATAAATTTTGATCTTTTGAAAGTATTTTACAGACGTTAAAATTAAAGCAGTACTTATTTATTCCATGACAGTTTTGTCACAAGATTATTTAATTTTTTTTCTAATATTAGTAGATCTAATTAATTTTTGTACTTGTAAGTTTATATTCAATTCTTTTGGCAACGTTCTTAATACCTAATGGTTGTTTGCTGTATTAATGTAGTGACTATATCAGAATTAAGCCTTACATTTTTACATGTTATGATGTAGTTAAATCTGACAAATTATATAATAAGAAAAACATTACAAAAAAGTTGGTGCTTCATGTACAGAATTTCTTTTTCCCTGAATTACAATACTTATCTAGTGTTACTTCACGTGGAACTAAAACATCACAGTAAAAATGTTAAACATGAAAACATCATTAAAATAATTATTGAGAAATGTTAAGCTATCGGGACATTACGTTAGATTGTTAAGAAGTAACTAATTATTTTGAAAGTTTGAAAGGTTGTGTTTTTTATTTTACTCAACATGGCAAATGATTCTGTTAGGTAGAATATAAATCAAAATAAGTATAGATAACATTAAAATGTAGTTCAAAACTGTGATTTCTCATTCTAGGGGCTTGGACTTCAAATGTTTAAAGCTTTGATAATATGTTGTTTGGGACAAGTTTTATTAAAATTGTATAAATTCTGTAAGAAAATAATACAAAAAAAACAACTCGTGTCGAATTAATATTAGATTATATATTAGAGAACCTGTGATGAAAAAAAAGTTTTGGAATATTGTGGATGAAGAGGAATGCATTCTTGAAAACACTGTCTTTACTGCTACCTCAAGGTTTAAACTTTTGTTGATGTATTAATATAGTTAAAGACAGCTTATTCAATCCTTTGAGGTAATTTTAATTATCTTAGTACAAAGTTGAATTGAACTAGCCACTATTGATCTATGTAAAGAGTTTAACGTTCAGTTACTGATCGCTTTGGAAAACAAAACCAAATGATACCAAAACATTTGTATCCCATGATGTAATATTAATTGACGAATTTCATTTAGTGTTAAAACACTTTACAATGTAATAAGGTTTCTTGTTGACAGTTTCAAGTGAGATTACGGTTTTTTTTCTTTTATTGTAAGATTTTATTTTAGTGAGAGTAATATAAAAATTTGTTTTAATATAAACTTTAATTGGTTTGTTTATGAAAGCTTGATTGTAATTACTCCACATTTAAAACTAAAATATAGTTTTAAAAAGCAAAATATGATAATTTGTTATGTGAACTTTGTAACATGGTTATAGTTTAAAGTTTTGTTATGCAAAGTTTTAAAATTGCTAAAATTTATTTTAAGTTTTTTTTCTTTTTGATTTTGCAATCTTTGTGTGTGTGTGTGTGTGTGTGTGTGTCAGTATGTCTTACGCTGTTTAACAAGCTACCAATAGAAAGTATTGAGAATTTGTGTGTATATTTACCTTTATATATTGATAAAGGTGTGAGTGTACGTTTTTGTTACTTCAGATCTGTAGGAAAGTCATGGCTAGTTAGGAATACTTTGGTTGTTTTCTGTTGGATTAGTTATCTCCTGTATGTACAAATCAAAACTGTGACATCGGCTTTGTGTTCACATGCTTCATGTTAACGTGGAATTGTACAGTTTTCGCAAAGTTGAAAATGTATGTACATTTTATACATAGATAAATCGCGATGACATCCCATTGATATAGAAGATACATTTTTTTGTCATTTAAAAAGTCAGGTGCTGATGGAAAAACTAGCTGAAAGCCTTGTCTTTGGACTTTTTTTTTTTTATCTGTTAGAGTTTGAACGTAGTATTAAAAACAAGTGATGGACGACTGTAAAGCTGCCGTCATTTCCATTCTGTTGTAACGCAGGGCCTTACTTTACGAACACTCACCGGTTCATTTGTTAACTTGTGTAAAGGTGATATTTTTATAATCAACTAGTAAAACACTTCTCATAGCTTGACTCTCGTAGTTCATTCTAGTTGATCGTTGTCTAGGGTGATTATTAGTGAGTTGATAGTCTGGCAAGTAGGATTAAGTCATGCACTCGGAATAGGGTGATTATTAGTGAGTTGATAGTCTGACAAGTAGGCTTAAGTCATGCACTCGGAATAGGGTGATTATTAGTGAGTTGATAGTCTGGCAAGTAGGATTAAGTCATGCACTCGGAATAGGGTGATTATTAGTGAGTTGATAGTCTGACAAGTGGGCTTAAGTCATGCACTCGGAATGTGAGCAGCACAAGTCGAGATAGTCTCCAGACATGGTGGGGGGGGGGTGACAAGTATATTTTGGAAAGTTAAAACATGTTCTGAAAATTTTGATCTTTAAGATCTGATTTAAATTATTCATCTATTCTTGTATATTATTGTTATATAAACTTTTTTTGTCAAATCTTGAATAGAGGTACATAACATTTATTGTTAGAGGAAATAACCAAAAAAAGGAAGACTGGGTCAGAGGGTTGTGGTAATTTTTAACGGAATGAAACACTAGTTCCTGTTTGTGGTCATTTAACCCTGATAACGTGTCATGTATTATTGAAGTTTGATTTATAAAGCAGTTTTATTTGAGTCTTGAGAAATGTTTTTTTTTGTCTTGTTTTTACGTGTGCATCAATGGACACTTCCACTTACATTTTTTTTTCAGTAGAAAGTTAAAGCACTCAAGTCGCAAACGGACGATCGTGGGTTCGAATCCCGTCAATGAACATGCTCGGCCTTTCAATAGTGGGGGGGCGTTATAATGTGACGGTTAATCCCACTTTTATTTAATAAAAAGAGTTGGCGGAAGATGCTATTGACTAGCAGCCATCGCTCTAGTCCATCATTTAAAAATTAAGGACAGATAATTCAGATAGCTCTTGATTAGCTTTGAGCGAAATTCTACAAACAAACTGTAAAAAAAAAAAAATGCTTTGGCGTTTATGTATCAGGATCTCATTATAACGTCAGGAAGTTTACGATATAAAGCAGATAGCCAAGTTTAGTATGTCATACTAACACACCGAGTACGAGACTAAACATTATATTAGAGTACACATACGGAGATATCCGTTTAATCCTAAAAGAACTTGATTCTTCGTTGTAGTGCTGATTCAGGCGAGTTTCGACACCACATTAAGAATGAAATCCTTAGAACTTTAAATAAATCTTGACATTTTTTTCATTGACTAATGTGTGGAAAAGTTCCTAGCTAAACGTTCGATCAGTTTTCGGACCTTTATTTATAACTGAATTAATATCACGCTCCTTAAGAAATAAGACTCGCTATTATTGGTTTAGAGTGATTAAACTGTCCAATCCGGAACTCCGTATCAAAAGTTAGTGATCTACGCTGATCAGTTTTAAGTAAAGACGTGCATAAAGAAGCAATGTACAAAACATTTTTTTTTTTTTTCATAAGACGGGGGTTAATTGCGTGATGGGGCCTAGTGGTTAGGGTCCTCGCTCGTTATCGTGGCCATGAACCAACTTGTCATGTCAGCTGTGAGGACGTTATAATGTACGCTCAATCGCACTATTCCATTAGGTGGGTGAAATTGACTAAATGTCTTCCCTCTAGGGCCCGGACTGGCCATGTGGTTCGGGCGCTTGACTCGCAATCTGAGAGTCGCGAGTTCTAATCCCCGTCCCACCAAACGTGCTCGTCCTTTCAGCCGTGGAGGAGTTATAATGTAACGGTCAATCCCACTATTCAGTGGTAAAAGAGTAGCCCACGAGTTTGCCTTCCCTCTAGTCTTTCACTTCTGAATTAGGGACTTTTAGCGCAGGTAGCCCTCGAGTATATGAAATTTAACCAAAATGTTGACCACTCCATCCTCCACTACAGTCAACCATTTCATTGTATTTTCAGAATTTACCACGTGTAGCCGTATTTGTTTGTTATTCGTGCTACTGCGAAAACCCGATTTAACAGCGAACCCGTGGGTTCACATGGTCCACATTTACAGGGCCTCTATAATACCTGAACTACTGTTGTGTACGTTTTCAGTTTATCATTGCCGCTATAATTCAAATTTAATTTCTTTAAGCAAGGTAATTAGTAGGCCTACTTCTTTACGAGCTCTGACGTAAATTAATGCCAAATTTGGGGATTCCACTTTCGGGGAATCCCCCTAAAAGTGTTTTCGCGAAATACCCGGGTACCCTAAGGGTGAAAAGTTTTACCTTTGTGCGAACCTCGGGGCCGAAGACGATTCGTTTGGTAACAGTTCGAAGTGTCGGTGCGACTAGCGAGCGGTTTAGGAGGAGTTATGTGACACACAGACACTGAAACTTATTATATTAATGTTATGTACAATCGGCAAAATGCGTCCCATCAATTTACGTATAGTTAACAACCCTTATTAATACAGTTCACCGTCCCTTTCCATTTTTCAGACTTCATCAGTACACAATATTTAAAAGGTGTGCACGCTTCGCTTGACCTTACGTACTTGGTTATATACATATCAAGGTTTGAAGGTGAAACGCCATTGATACTTCTGTGTTATATACAGGTTTTATGATAAACAAGGCTAAGTAAATATCGTATAAGGAA